CCAACTCATATCAGCTTGCAGCTTCTCTATATGGAGACACAAAGAGGCAAATATATTTTCACTCACCACAGGTGTGAGTGAAAGTGTAACGTAAGCACCCATGGGATCACACAATGAACATAAACCTCAAGGCGCTCTAAAAGGCTGATAACACCTTTCTTGCCCAGAATGGTGTAGACAAAGAAGAAAAAAATAACTTTGCATGTAACTAGTCCTGTAAGAAAGATGAGAGAGCAAAGTAGGCATTGAGACCAGCATAACTGGTGGCCTTAAAGGCATATTAAATGTATGCCTTTATCTTTGTGTGAAGCTTCCGATTTTGTTGTTCACATTTTGGACAGAGAGGACAGATGGTTTGAAAGAGGAGTGAAAGAAGCCATCTATGTCCATTGTGAGCGACCATCTTTGAACAGAGACGGTGTTTTATGACACCAACTCTCTGCCATCTATAATCCAGTTTTGAGATCCCTCCCCAGACGCCTTAACGCCCACTCACATCCTGGGCCATCTGACCTCAGGAATTCGCATGATAAGGTGGGGCCAGGTTTCACAATGAACTCACCCGAAACTCTGGCTGATTGGGACCCACACCCAGTTTCACACCTTGGCTCAGGCGATTAGAGGATCATCAGGGGGTCCTTTTGTCCCTCTGTGGGGGGTTACTCCCACTAGGTTTATATCTGGGACTCTCCACCATTTGACCTTAGAACTGAAGAAGCTTCTCAGATGAGAGGTGAAACGTCTTCAAGTAACTCAAAGAAGTCCAGACGCTTTTCTTTGCAAGCTCCTTTGACTACGATGACCTGGATGACTGAGAACCTTCACAGACATATTCCAATTTTGTTTCATCATCTTCCTTTTAATTCGACTTTAATATTGAGGATCGACACTGCAGCATTCACAAGATTGTGTGGAGCTGAACCTGAAATTATCTGTTTTTTACCCCTCACCTGCAAAAGGGTGATGGGGTGTTGTTGTCACGCCACTGATCGGGCGGCGTGGAGACCTAAGTTTGTGAATGCAATAGCTTGAGAACAGGGTGATTTTGAAATTGATACCATAGGTGTGTCTACTAGGAGGCTGAGGGGTTGTAGATTTTTGTGAAAACAAGAGCATATTACTAACTCACCACCTGCCCTACTTGGCAGACTGTAACTTCCTGTAACTTTGTCCTCCTTCTCCTCAAAATAAAAATGTGTTGTTGTTTTGACAGACTGGTGGAAGAGCCAGTAAGTAGTCAAACAGGATTTCCAGACTGTACATAAAAGATGGACATAGCTTCCAGGTCTGAAAAGTGCAGCAAATATGGAAGTGCTTTGAACTTTCCTTAAATGGCCATCAGGGGGTGATTATGTCGGGCCCTCTTTTACATACAGTCTAAAAATAGCAGCTGCAAAATAACCGGTCCAGATGTGCACAAATTTATAAAGTTGTTGTACTTCATATTTTTCTTTTAATGCTGAGTGCTGCAGTCATTTACAGCCAAGTGTAGTGCCTCAGGCAAGAGCAATGCCTAACATCTGAGTTTACATTTGCAGGAAGCAGCAGAGTTGGACATGTTCTGCTTAGACCTGGACACCTGGACCTGGACCAAACTGTAAATTTTCTTTCACTCTTGCACACCTACAAAAGCAATGACCTAACAGGATTTGTCCTTAGTGGCTTACTGACCACTGCTCTGTATTTTATTTTATTTTTTTATTTATCTTTTTTGAACAGTGACATCTCCTCAGCTTTTGCACCTCTTGGTCGCTCTTGGCATACCATGACGCCCACGTCAGATCACACGCTGTTCATGTACGGAGGTTTTGGCACAAATGGAGATACTTTAAGTAAGTCTAAGAACCCAGAATAAGCACCGATCTGTTATGGGATGAGACAAAATACTCCAAGAATGAAAGTAATTATAAAGAGGCAGAAAATGAAGTGGTTCTTTGTGGTCCGATTTCCAAAAAAACTCCCAAATATTTAAGCAAATCCCCACTTGTTTTTCCTGATGCCATTTATAAAAAGGATAACCATTCTGATTGCATATAATCATTCTTTTGGTTCAAGGAAGTGAATGGTTTGTGAAAGTGAAGCTTCGTTATTTTATCATGAGCCTCTTTCTTTTAGATGATGCCTGGCAGTTTAACACACAAACAAGAGAGTGGACCAAGATGATAAACCCCCACAAAGACAAGCCCAGGTAATTAAAATCATTCTGTAAATGTTAAAATTAAGTGTTTCAGCTTCATAGTTTTATCATAATTTGTTCTCACAGAAATGTCTATTTTATCCATAAAATCTTGTTATTTATTCCTCAGAACACTTCAAAATGCACAAAATTTAAGCCTTGCTGCAGTAAACCTTTATTTACTTGTCAGAGTTTTCCATACGGCGTGCCTGGGGAGGGATAGTGACGTTGTGGTGTTTGGGGGAAGCAGGAACCTCCGCATCGTCATGGATTCGGTATGTGATTAACATCGGTCATATTGTTTTGTTACACTGTAAGGTCTTACTGAATAAATCCATTGTGGTATAATCCTTTCCCGTTGCAGACATCATCAAAAGGCTGCTGCATTAAACAGCAACTTTCCTTAAATACTTTTAAACCCCATTACTCTTAAGGTAACTTGTTGAGTCAACCAATTACAGCGTCGTCTTTAACCAGGAGTGTTACATAAATGAAGCATAAGTAGTTTAAGGGCTCAAAGTATTAAATGCACCTGCAATGTGTGCAGAGTCATGTGAAAAATAACCTCTTTCAGTTCTAAGGCTTTACATATCAAGGCAACAGAAACAGTAATTTGTTCCTTAACGGGTCTTAAAATGAGGTAAATGGGCCTCAGATGAACCACAACAACATGGCACTTTACAAATTGCCATTATTTATTTAACAAATACTAAGCCAAAGTGAAGTTTATTATCTGTTTATCAGATCATCAGCAAGTGTGGAGAGCTCTATAAAAACATACATTTTGGCAGTTTGCTGGTCTGGAGCCTCCAGCTATGTGTTAGCACAGTGTGAAGGAGGAGAGACACCAGCAATGATCTCAGAGAAGCCATTATTGCTGCTAATTGATCTGGGAAGGGTTATTGGGTCATTTCCATTTTATTTGAAGTCCATCATTCTACAGTCAGAAAGTTTATTTACGAGAGGGAAGCTGACGATGTCTCCCAATGTGTTTCCCTCAAGTTCAGATCATGTAATGCTCAAAGAAACTGCAAAAAAAAAAAACAACAACAACCCTAAAAGCCACATCTCAGACTCAGATGTAGAACGTTTAGCATTATGCTTCATTCACAAACAGAAAACTAACTCAAATAAGATGACTGGGATCACCGGTGCTGATGTTGCACAGAAAAAATGAACCTAGGACCGTTTGTGGGAGAGAAATCATGAGCTTTAAAGATGGGAAAAAAAGCATTTTGACATTTCATTCTTAATGTTAAATGTAGCAGTACTTTAGAAAATGTCAGGGATTTGAAGAAAGTCTTTATGATTTATTATCTGCAAGAAGTCCGTGCAAACGTTGATATGACCGTACAGTAGGACATACAGAGTGTTCACTAAGTGTGGCAACCATAAACCGATTCAATTTTTGTGCCCAAAAACGTTCAAGTAGGGAAAAAAGGTATAATGATTCTTGCATGTATCATCCATCCTCATGGGATTATTTTGAATCCTGTCATCAGATGGTTATTTTGAGGCTTCCATCACCACATCACTGCAGAGACGTACTCATCTTTCAGACTCAGCCTTACTCCCTCTCCAGGTATGCCTAACTAAAATTTTAGGATTCATTTAACAAAGATGCAGCATGGGTTTCATACTTTCTGTTGTGTTAATCATTTCATACTTTAACACATGTATTTCTTGTCATCACTGAAACCTCCATTCACAACCTCCATTTACACAGAATTAATCAGTTTTAATAAAGTCTGCAAACACAGCTGTGCAACTCCTTGTAGTTGTGCTGCCTCACATGCAGCAAGGCGTTAGATTAATAAGCTTTATCTTGGTATTATACGAACACAGGTCACTTTATTAGGTACACATGTTTAACGGCTTATTAACACAAATATCTAATCGTCTGGTTACATGACAAACTCAGCTCATGACCAAGACAACCTGCTAAACTTCAAACCGAGCTGAGTATTTTAGAAACTGCTGATCTTCTAGGATTTTCCTGCACAACCATCTGTAGTTTTTAGAGAGAATTCTCTGAAAAATACAAAACATCCCGTGAGCAGCAGGAATAGAGATGCTTTCAACACTTTGTCTGTATCATAAATAATTAAGGCAGTTTTCAAGGCAAAAGAGGGCCCCAAGCTGGTACTAGCAAGGTCTACCTAATAAAGTGGTTGGTGAGAGTGTAGGTGACAGAAAACATAATGGTTCCCTTGAATAAATAAAACTGCACGCTGAGGTATTTTCCTGTGTTCTGCTCTTCTTCAGGTTATGTGAGGATGTCATTGGACAAAACTCAGAGCTGCTCAGGTTGCAGCTCAGCTGGCTGCCATCGAAGCTACAGAGGACACTTGAGAAGAGAATGAGCTTTTTTTCTGCCAGTTCTTAAAACTTAGAGAGGACTATGTTTAGACTAGACACCAAGATTCTGAGCAAGTCTTCACTGAAATGTCTTCATTTATAAGTTGGGAATATGTATTTATACTTTGAAAAATGGTGCTAGATAAGATACTTTTTAACTTAATTTGTAAATGAAGCCTTTTTAATTTTGGGTAAAATTATTCCGTTTTGTGGTTTCATGTTGTGCTGTCTGTTTAACGTTTAAAAATTGTCTGTGAAATAGTAATAAAAGGTATTGATGTAACATATTAGTGTAGCTTTTTTTTTATCACTTTAAGAGTGGAAAATGTTGCAAAATAAAAGCATAAGCAATTGTAAAAATATAAGTAATTGTAGCTTTAAAAATACACTGGATAACATTCTACTCTAAGAGTGGGTTCTGTGCTAGTAAATGTTACCCTTCAAAAATATAAATAATTAGTAAATCTGAAGATGAATGGGTTTTATTGTGAATTTGTTTCCTTTCCTCCTTTCTCCTTTGACCTTACAAACATAAAAGCTTTATTATCAATATTTATTCTTCATGGAAGTCAAAGAAACCATAAGCAGAGCCCCATCATACGATTTGAAAATTACATTTATGGAAAAAATGCAAAGCAGAACCAGGCAGGGATGCTTTTTAAATGCAATATTTCATTTGCAAAAAGGTGATTTTTAAAGCCTGATTGCAGGTGCGGGCAGCAGATCCACAGGGCAGGAGGTGGATCTCTGAATATCTGCTGGGCAGAACTGTTTGTTTCACACAGGTCGTACATAGTTAGCAGGAAGCATGCCCCGCTGCCCAGTGCGCTGGTTAAAGCCGAACACCCATCCCTCATCTATCGGCTCCACATCTAAGATCAGATCACCTTCCTGCAGAGAAAGCTCATCCGCTTCAGCTGCCATGTAGCTGTACATGGCCTGGTAGCGCTTCTGAATGAGCGGAAACACACACAGAGAAGAGATGAATGAACAGAACCAGTCAGACATGCAGACACACTGATATAGCAGATAAGAACATAAAGAGCACACAGTCTACCAGGATACATTTGAATTTAATTTCCCTACAGGAAAAATAAACAGAAGCAAATGTAATACATGGCAAGAAGTTTTAATATTAATTCACTAGAGCTTGCTGTGTTTATAGTTAATCAAATCTAAAGTCTAAAACTGTGAGCATTCACACCTATGGTGAAAAATTAAAAACTACAGCTGTGTTTTATGAATTGATAGTATCCGGGATCTGTGTTATTGCTGCAGGAGACAAGAGAAAATTTAAAAAAGCTTGAAAAACATTTCACACAAATACAGGGTATGAGCCAAAGTGTGTAGACACCTTTCTTTACTATTAAAATGTGGGAGCACACTTGAAATGACGTGTATAGAAAATATAATTTTGTGCAACAGCTTGTGTTTCTTCTTGTGGGTTTTTTGGTCAACATATTACCCAGTCTACACAGTCACGTCCATAAAAACCTGGTTTTCTATTCTGGTATAAAATAGATTTGGTTGAACTGGAAGCCAGGCCTTATCAATCAACATTCATAGTGAATCCCTGCAGATTCAACCTCTGGAGGAATCTCTCCAGATGATTGATGTACCCACAGAATGAGGCCCATCTTAAAAGAGAGCATGCACACAGGTGTAATGTATGTGTCCACATACTTTTGGGCATACGTTTGCTTATGTATTGTTCTTACCCCTCCACTGTGTGGTGCTACAGCAGCAGTACGCATTTGTCCAGCAGACTGACCAAAGTCACTGACAGGGTTGGATGGCTGGTCCTCATAGTCTAAACACACACACAGTTCATACACACATTTAAAGGGAAAACTGTTATAAAGTCCCTGTGTAAGGATCTGTCTCACCTTGCCTATTTTCCGGAGGAGGCGCGTCACTTCGAATCTTGCTCTTCTCAAATTCTTCATGGTACTTTATCTGCACACACATGCACACATGTTAAATCCACACGGGGGTGCTAAGCTTTCACATTTGACGGTTCAGCCTCAGCAAACCCTCCCACTGTGAGAAGCAGCTCACCATTTTAGGAGGTGCTGAGAGATGACGAGTGGATATTGCAGCCACAGACGCAGAGAGAGAAAGACCCACATCTATTTAGTGTCTGCTTTTATTTGTCTATTTTCAGTAGTTGCAGCCCACTTGCTCCTTTCTGAAGGTCAACCACTGTCACATTAGTTTCACTTGAGAGTGGCTCAAAAAGCCCCCACAGGCTCCCATGTTAAAAATGCTGACCTTTATATCATTAAATACCATGTTTATAGCCCAATACAGAGAACTGTTTTTTCCTTCATTAAATAAACAGCAAATTATTTTTAATTCATTCATTTGGATATAACAGGGAATCACTTTGATGTGCAGGTGTGCTTGTAGCCAAAAGCTGTCTTCAAGGTTTCACTTCCAATAACAGGGTTAGGGTTATAGTTAGGGTCCTCTGAACTGGACCGCTTTGCCATGTTTGTGCGTTTTGAAGCTTTTTTAATGGCATTATCAAACTTGCTGCGCAGTTACCTGTACTAACAGCATGTCCTAGAAGCTTCTTTTGGTGCGTCTTACACTTATCAATAATTATGTTTCTCTCCACTGGTTGCAAAAGGAAGTTGCAAATGCAGTCGTACACTTCAGTTTATCTTTGTGGTTAGTAAAGACGTGTGACGACCCCTGACTCTTGTTTTCAACCTTTTCACATTTGTCTTGATGCACGTTCAATCATCTAGTTAAGGAAATCTCAAAAAACGTTGATTATGTTCATCTGGATGTAGCGTTTTCAGTGGGAGAAACGTTTTAGATGAACAGAATCAACTATTTTAGGTTTTCTCATTTGTTTTGATGTCGCTGGTGGGCAGAGGAGGGTTTGTTAGTGCCAGCTGTTCCCAGGCTATAAATCTAGAGCTGGCAATCTCTTTTTCCCTCCTGCTCCTTGTGACCATCACACCCTAGATAGCACTTGTTTTTGCACACACACATACATTCACTTGCTTACATGTCCTCACTCATCTACACCCTACGTCACTGAGGCCATTGATTTGCAAATGTCAATAGTTTCTATTTCAGTTGTTTAATTAGGTTTAATAAATAATGTTTATATTGGCAAGCGGTGTGTCAACCTTTTTGCCATGGCCTTATGAGCCAAGTTGTGACACTTGTCTAATATGTTTATAGTCTCAATCGCTAATTTAACATATTATTTAATAAAACAATGTGTTTACGCTGTCAATTATGTTGGCATTCAGACTAATACTGATGACAGATCACTGTCATATGTCATGGAGATCTACCCCTCACTGATTAAAAAAATAAATAAACCAACATAGCTACGCCAAAAATATTCAAGTTGAGGCTTTAAAACAGAATTTCACTAATGACCTAGTGACATCACTGGCTGAGCTTTTATATGCAGTAAATTGTATTTGCCTTTTTTGGTCTAACTGTCTGAAAGCAACTTATTTTTAAAAACTGCTTTTTTCAGCGTTTTCCAACAGAAGCTGCTGGTGATGGGGTATTCAGTGACACAAAGCAACTCAAAGATTCTTGAACTTTATATGTGTTGAACTTATTCTGTTGTTAGTTTGGTATGTTGCTTGTGCAACATACAGTATGTCCCCCAAGAATAAAAACAACTCTGGGTCTAGTACTTAGAGGAAACTGGATGTTGCTTAAGGAAGAGAAGGAGCAGCCTCCTGTGACCTCAAGAAACCTCGAGAGGAGTAAACAGAAACAGGAATTTGTGGGAATAAAACTGGAGGAAAGGGATTGTTTTTAAAGTGGGAAGTGAGGGTGGAGAAATGAGAAAAAGACTCATACTAATACCAGTGGACAAAAATAATAGATTGCCCCTTTGACACACAGCTTATCACCCATGATTCCTTTCTACAACTAGTGCTCTCATGAGAGAGGAAGAGAAAGTTTGTGTGTATGTGTGTGTGGATAGCAGTTCCCTTTGTGTCCACAGCTGAGAGACTTTGACCATATAGGGCAGCTGTTCCTCAGTGGATGGAGAGAAATGCCTGAAATGTGCCTGTGTGTCTCTGCAGGGTTGTACTCTTGACATCTTTTGCTGCTCTTTGCAGCAACATGTTCTCTGCTTTGTATGCTGAAGCCATCAGCAAATCTACAATCCTGATCTGGACTTTCTCGTTTTCTTCTTTGAAAACTAAAATGCCTTTTTTAACATCTGCAGACTTGCTGCTTGCATCTGTCTATGACATCCTTCTGGAACTGAAAAATGTTGCCATAGTGAGATGCATACCAGATGTTTGACAGTCAAGGCCAAACATCCAGCAGTTTTCCCTTATTTTTGCAAGTGAAGAGCAAACTGAAGATACAAAAGTTCTATTAGAAGATATTGAAGGAGTCTGACAACATGACTGCACTTACGTTACTGATCTGATCCTGTGTCTTCTTCACTCTCTGCATCTCTGGAGTATCGACCACCACACTGAAACCTTTCCCCTTGTTCTTCTCAAACTCCTCCTTGTAAAGGGCCTGCAAATTTCAGAGTTATTTTAGAAGAATAACTTGAAGTTTAAAGAAAAAACTGCTTTCTTGGTAAAAATTATTCTAAAAAAATTAACTCCACTCTCTTTGTGTATCAGGACTGAGCTGTATCTGTTATTAAAATCCAACCGAATGCCTTTTTTTTTTTTTTTTGAAAAGATGGAGATACCACTTGAAATTACTATGACTAAAAAATATGTAGCAATGCTGTGCTTCCTTTCTTTTGCATCAATCTTGGTTGCATTGTAGCCCAGGTACAATAACATCTGTGTGTACTGACTTTCCTTATTGCTATAAGGTTTAACTGCAAAGGTCTATATCTTTCCTTTTGGCCTTACAGACTTAGAGCTGTTATTGACTAGATTTTATGAGGACGGTTTAAAGCAGTTAATATGAAGCCGCTAACAGTCGTTAACTGTTGGGTCTGTCCCCCAAATTCCTCTTCAAGCATGTATAAGGTTGACTAGTGAACACTTTCTCTGTGAAAACAGTGGAAAAACGAATCTGCAGCTCTTAGGGGGTAATGTTATTGATATTAAGAGGCCTAATGGTTAAACTAAGCCAACTGGCTGGTGGTTCATTATTAGCATACGGACATGAGAGTGTTGTCAATCTTTTTATCTGCCTCTGACCAAGAAAGTGAATGGTCACATTCCCAACAATGATCCAATATTTCTTTAAACATTAAACAAGTTAAATGACACAAGTGGAAGGAAACAGTTAGCTTTGTTACATATCGAATGCATGCATTGTTTTATCTTTGACATCAGCTAAAGCCACGGAAGTCGAGTTTTAAAATGAAGCCGCATTCAGTTACACTGTGCATCGTTTTACTGTTACAACGATCTGTTATTACAGCAACAAAAAATCCAATCCTGCAGCCCGTCTACCATGCACACTAAAAGAAAATAGTTCTTTTCATGGCTTCTTTGCAGCCTGAAGTGGAAAATCTAAGACATTTTGCAAATGCTTACATTTTAGTGAAGCTTGTAAACTAAGCAGATATCTCTTTAGAACTTTTCATCTATGCTTTTATTATTTTGCAAGGCACACCTGCCTAACTTCCTGGGATTATTATTATTTTTCATTTCATCTCAAATGTAGCACAACCTGAATGCAGCACTGAATCAAAGCCAACAAAGGATGATTAACAAAGACTTTTACATGTAAAGAATAAGATGGTATGGAAGCCCATGCAGACATGCAGACATGCAGATAGCAAAGCCGCATCACAACCTTCAATAATGTTTTAAAGAAGGAGGGAAAAAAAGAAGGAAGATCATTTGTTATAATTGGAGAGGTAATGGATAAATGGAGATGTTATCGGAGAATTCGATTCTTGGTGGTCTTTAAGGTGGACCGAGCATACGTTACTGATCTGGTCCTGTGTCTTCTTCACTCTCTGCATCTCTGGAGTGTCAGCCACGGCGCTGAAACCTTTCCCCTTGTTCTTTTCAAACTCCTCCTTATAGAGCGCCTGTAAATTTTCATTCATCAGTCTTTATTGTTCATTTTAATGTTTTTAACTTAGACAAAGGAGCTTAGGGCAATGCTTTGGCTTAAATTCTCAATTCTAAAGGGTTATACTTGCTAAAATGATCATGTTAAACACTTTTACTGCATTTTAATCAAAAATATACAAAAACTGATTCATGCAGGGCTTTAAATGGCCTTTTGGTGAGAGTTTTTGAAGCTTAAAACCTCAAGGAAACACTTGCAAACTTATTCCATGCCTGCATGTTTATTTGAAAGTAAATCTGAGATCCCCGCGAACTCACGCAGACATGCAAACATAAGTGAGTCATGATGTTGCTATGAGGAATATGCCTCCTCGGTAAGAGAGCTTGACTGCAGAGACTTTTATGGTTATAAACAATGAACTGGGCTGGTTTGATGAGTAAAGCGCAGAACGGGAGGGGTGGTGGTGTAAATTTGATCATGCTGTTATAACAGCTGTGTTGAAATGAAACGACAGATTAAATTGCTAACCAAAATCAAATACACTTAATTAACTGATCGTCAAAAAGTTTCAGCACTTCCCGGGGGTGGATTTCCCAGCAAATTCCCCCCAAATTAGACTGTGCTCAGAGAAATAAAAAAAGAAAACAAGAGTTATATATCAGAGCCTACACACCTCAGTAAACATGTTAAATAATAAAATTCATAACAGCAAAATTAGAAAAAAGGTGAAACATTTTTTTGCTTGTTTGGAAGAGTTGGTTAGACAAAGCCTCTACATGGCAGTAGACGATATACCAAATAAACTTAATGTATCGCAAATTTTTCCCACTATGATGGTTAAAATGGCTTTATCACAACCATCCAGTATAAACAGCCATGGCAATATTAAGCTGTCTGCACGTAATTCAGTTTTTTCTCCCACACGCTGCGACTGCATCATCAATCTCCCCTCCCAACAGGTACATTTCCTCTTATCACTCAGCCCTACTTGGCATTATGGTTTAGGTTTGCAAAGCTGCATCTGAACGAACTGCAAGACTTTTGTAACAATGTGCTTTTGACAGAGGAGAACAAAGTGGAAATGGAGCCATAAAGAACAGCAAACCAAACAAGCACCACATATACCTTACACATCATGAGGTTTTGCAACCACAGGACCTGGGCAGTCACTGAGTCGACCATGAACTCTGTATACCAGAGTATTCTAGAGTCAAAAGTGAGGCCATGTGGCTGACAGCTAAAGCTTAGTCAACATTTGGTCATGCAATAGGACAATGATTGCAAGCACAGCAGCAAATCTACAAAAGAAGGGAATGACCCAGTCAAGGTTACACTTCAGCCCAGGTGAATTGTTGTGATGGGGACCTTAAAAGAGCTGTGCATAAGTGAATGCTCACAAACCTCAGTGAACTGGGCAGATGTAGGTCACAGTGCCTCTCATCAAACAGATGTGCTAATATTTACCATGAATGTTTTTGATTTATTACCACATGTTGACACAGAAACACTTGAAAATAGCAAGGCGATGACAAAGGAAACAGAATAGCAGCACTGAAAGTCAATACTGTTTGATGCATTTATAGATGACATCAATGAAGCTACAAAAATATCAAATGGTTTCATGTACCTTAATACACGTGTAATGGTTTCTGCTGTGTTACTGCAACCTTTAAGATTTTTTCAGCCATTATAAGACCTTTGCATTGTTTATTGCATTGTAAAAGTTACATTTAAAACTGTGTCCTCTCTTTTCAGAAACAGTTTATGTATTAAATAATTCACAAAATTCACATTTTTCACTTGGATGATTTTTCTTGGCAATGCAGATTAGCGTTCTGCATACCTACGCAATTGGTTTAGCTTAACTGCTGACATTATGAATGGGGGTAGGGGTCGAGGACCATCCAAAAAGCTAACTGTGCCCCCTCAGCTATATTCATTTTACATATTTATATGTAAAATCCAGTCATACAGTTCGGTAATTAAGAAGTGAAACACCCACATTGCTGTTAATTTATTGTAATAACAACCAAGCTCATGTTAATGATTCTGTGAATAGCACCTTAGTGCATCTGCAGTAAACACTTTAGTATGACCAAGGAGGACACTGATTTTGGAGCATATGGGCCTATGCAAGTCAGACTTTGACAAGTACCCCTCACTTTTCTTAAGAACTGAAAAAATACCATTCACCAGCTTATGCATTTTTTTTTAAAGTACTTGAAAATTTCAAAACAAATGTGCAAGTGTGCATGAATACTTTGCTATAGAAACCATTTCCTGATAAACAGGAAACGTGAACTAATAAAAGGTTATGCTGTGTTCAGTTAACTAAATTTAACTATTCTCTGCAAATTTCGATATTCTGTCTAACAAATACAGGTCTGCACGGGTCTTGCAGAAATGCAGTCGTGAGTGGATTGCCTAACTTTTTTCATCCTTTTAAAAGGGAAGAGAAGCTTCACCTCAAAATGCTGAGTGGCAAGATGATCCCTAAAGTTTAATCTGTGAAGGAATCTCTTTAATTTTGCGTGACTTGCAGGACTTATCTCTTTGATCAGGTTAGAACATGTTGGCATGAACAGTGTGATTAGATTAGAGCTTAAGAACAGGGATGGCAGGGAAAAGGAGGCCGGTACCACATCAGAGGCTAAAAGGAGACTGGATCTGAGAGTATTTTTAAAAATGCTCTCAAACCTCTGATCATTTACAAGAGTTCCTGACGAAACGCATTTGAACTTCACGAATGTCAGATTGGCTCATGTTGTAAAAGTAGAGTCTCAAAATGAAGCTACCATGTCCTTATTTAAGTAACTCATCAAAGGGTACCTTTGATTTAATCAAAGGAATCCAATTGTCATGAGAGCAGAGCCAAGATCTGCGTCCTGATCTCCTGCTCTGATACCGAGCTGAGTGAAGGAGATATATATATAGAACTTTTCCACCAATGGGTTGCTGTTGCCAGTGCTTAACCTAGAAAAAGCTCCACTTATTTCCACCTTTAAAAAGACTGATGCTGGTGCCAAAAAAGCTGACATCAGCACAGCTCCAAACAATTGCTGCCACCAAAGTTGGAATCACTGCTCTCAGTGACAGTGTGAGGGCCATGGCGGAAAATTCAGGGCTAATTTTAATAAAACATGAGCCAAAGCAACTTCTGTTAAAATGCCCAGCTTTTACAGTGTAACATTTAGTTCCCTGGCATATCTGGTTATCAAAGACACCAAAGCAGAACTGTTATTTCTCGCACCACCTTCAACACTGTGATGACGGAAAAGAGGCAATCAGGACTGACAGATATGTAACACCAAGCGATGTTGCTGCAGTGAGCTTGCAAACAGTATCTCCTTTCTCTGCTGGTCAAGACCAAGATGTAAATGATGGCAGAGATAGGCCTGAACTGCTAAAGTCTCACCTGACTATTAAGCATGCTCTGTTGTTTGAGACGCAGATTCTCGGGGGTGTCGGTCACTATGGTGAAGGAGGTTTTGGGGTAATGCCTGAAAAAAAGAAACAGAAGGGAAGAAATTAGATAAATGAAGATTCACATCATGCATTCATCCACCCATCTATCCAGTTAAGCAGCAAGACCATGATTAGATTGATTGGTGTTAACCAAAGTCCTACAACATAACAGCAATCTTCTATGAAATCCAGCCCAACAATATGATTGGCTGATAGAGTTTTTCCGTACATTTTAGTTCAGGTTTTGCTGAATGTCTTCTTCCTATGGATGTTCAATGGCTTTATGCTTGGCTGCTTTGTTTTTTGCAATATTTGATTTTCAGGAGAAGCAAACTGTTGTCAAACTGAATTGAATGAACTGATTAATTTGTTCATTCTGCAAATAATTTGTGCCTTATAATATTATGTAAAGAGCACAATAGATGAACCCGGGTTGCTGTTTAATAACAGTCGGACAGCAAATTTCTAATCTCACGTCAATCTTTAGGAATGACTGGAATCACATGATTCAATCTGTCTGCTCACACTTCTCTTTTCCATCACTTCCACATGCTGCCTGCAGCTTCTCCTGCTCAACTGCTTCAGAATTTAACTTCTGCTCATGTGGTAGATTTGTTAATGATGAAACAACCAAACCTGTTCAATCACCTTGCACAGATAATAGAAAAAAAGGCCGTAGTAAATAATTCCTATAATACTACGTATTATAATTTTGTGGCTATAGTTGCGTAATGAACTGATTTTGATTGACGCTAATGTTACTTAATAACAAGCAGTAACCTAAAGGAGCTGAAAAAGTGAAACGTCAAAAACTAGTGTCTCTAAAGGCCATTTTATTCTGGCTCCAAAAGTGACTCCCATGTTAAAATGTCCAAATTCAGCAATAAACTTACAATATTCGCCTTTTATGATTACTGTACAGTGGATTTTTTTCCCCAAGAAATCACTCATTTGGATTTTGTTGAGGCCTAAAGTAGTTGAGCCCTTTGACTGACAGGTGTGCCAACACCTAGCCCATAGCTGATACTGTAGGCCTCACCTCCAGTAATCGGCATTACTGAACTGTACTTCTGGACCTCGTGTGTTAATGCAAACTCATAATATCTGACTTATAATATGGCATGCTGCAAAGCACAGCCTGTCCAAGAAATCTGTGCTTCAAATTCAGTGAATGAAATTCTATAATTTATTAGTCAGTTACTTGGCACTAGTTAGCACACACAGTGTCTGTGTGGATCACCTCTACAGTGTAAGGATGCAGCTTTCTTCCTTGGTCTCTTGTGTTCTGGGGGCCTCTGGATGTCTGGAGATTTGATCTCCTCCATACCTGCTTCATGCCCTGGAGGACGGGGCTGTGGCCCCCCCACACCCTCTAGCAGATCATTACATGAAGGAACCTTTTAAAAAAACAAGCGCGTCCATGCTCACAGGTGTACACACGGGTGATCACACCCACAAACTACACTCTTTTTGGCTCCTACCTCAAAGCACACTGTGTTCTGTTGATCTTATGTGCTGCACAATGTTTAATATTTAGTATTTACTGTCATATTCCCATATATCATTGTGATGTTGTTTATTCTATTACTCTTGTTCTCTTCTGCTTGTTTTCTTTTTTCTTTCTCAGCAGGTGATCCAGGTGATTGATATATGCATTTTCTTTCTCTGCCCGTTCTGTTGGTTTTTGTCTTTTGCCCTTCTCCCCCGTCCCTCTTCTCAGCTGTTTCTCTTTCCCTCTTTCTTTCTCCCCTTCTTTCCCCCAGTCAAGTCTGTCCCGTATTCAGTAAGTGAAAATAAAATAAACAATAAAAGGTGAATCAAATGGACCATTACGGCAAGGCTGGGATGGTCAATTTGGTAAAGTAAATCCGTTGGGCATCTTTCTTTGCCTTTAGACAACAATTCTGATGGCAAAAGAGCCAAACGGGACAGGTGCAAAAAAAAAAAAGGATGCAGCTTTCTGAACAAGCTTGCTAGCGTTTCCTCATAACTTAGCACTTGACTCTTTCATCCAAATAAGGCTGGCTCAAAAAAAAGCAAGCAAACAAACAAAAAAACCACCACGTCTACGTCTGAAATGCTAATGCTGAGGCTTCAGAGGAAAGGTAACCACATCTTTTATATTTTAGATATGGTTTTGTTTCTTTCAAATATACTGCAAGCTCTTAACAAAGAGTCAGATGCTATCCAGCTATTTTAAGTGTTTGTTTTAGTCATCATGGTGGTGCATGCTGTGAACGCTCACATAGTGCAGTAAGGTTTCTTCTCAAAGCCTTTGTAGTTCGTCATGCTCAAGGCCATCTTGCAGACCTCACAGCTGAAACAACCTTTGTGCCAATACTAGGAAAAAAGAGAAGAAATAAAGTCTGAAGTATTAAACTTAGAAGAAAATGCATTTCCATCGACACAAATTTAGATCTGTATTAACCTTTTTTGACAGAACACTGTGGAAATCTTGTTCACTCTTACTGGCTGATTGAATTAAATGGTTTTTCATTTGAAAAAATAAAACTTTTTTCTCTCTCTTTCTCTCTCTGAGCGGGGAAATCCCTTGACTCCTCTACATAAGGCCGCAGCTGTCCTACTAATCTGTTTCTATTTCTCCCATCACTTCACTAAAAGATTTCCAATAAGAAATGGTTCAAATGGAAAATGACTGTGAGAAATAATGCTGTGAAATTAGGTGCATTTTTAAACCTATGCACTATGCATATAAACTTTCCCATAAATATATTTTTTGCATTATTAAATAAAAGTCCTGCAGGAAGCCATTTTTCCCAAAAGAAATCAGGAATTGATAACATCTCTGTAACTCAGGTCACTTTGCTTTGATTAAGTCCTTAAATTGATTAGATCATCTTGATTATAAATAATATTCATCTGATTCCACTAAAATGATCAGAGTACATCTATTTGAGAAACCACAGATACATAGATTATTATTGATTATGTAAGATATAAATTTTTTAACATTTGGAAATTTCTAGTTGATTTTTATGTGTATTATCTAGACTTCCATTTTGCATGTTTTTTTTGGCTTGGTTGTGACTGTACAAAATATGCACCCAGTTAAAGCATCACATGAGATATGACTGCATAAAAATATTTTTAAAACTGTAGAATAAAAAAGAACTTTTGCAAGTGGACAAAACTATTTTAAATTTAAAATATCTATAATAAAATTGAAAGTATAAGTTAGTCTTGAAACTCACCTGATAAATCTTTGCATACATTAGAGTAAATCACATTAAGGTCAGTGGATGGGCTTAAACTTGTTTCACCTTACCTTATCAAGGCAGTTTATTTTTTCTGTTGGGTAAACTGGTTTATTGCATCTCCCACAGGGCGGATTCATGATTGCAGAAAAAACAAAAACAAGTTTACTAGTCCAAAAGTTCAGGAGTAAAGGACCTGTAATGGGCAGCTGGTACTCGAACCGTCCTCCCGCTTTCTCGCAGGCATTTCAGTTAATATGACCCCAAGGCGAGGAGGAGTCAACTGTGCAGCACGGAGACCTCATGTTGCCTTTATGGGTCGTCGGACATAGCAATTTTACTTCTGGTGTTTAAGTAATTAATACGAGATGGTCGTCAAATGTGATTCTATATGATATTTTTAGTAACTTAAAATGAATTAACAACAAAACAAACGAAACCATTGCGCATCATTCAGCGGCCTCTTTAGCTTGTCCAAATATGTTTTGTAAATTACAGGGTTTTCGCATGCCTTGAAGGCAGCATCAGCAGCGTTGAGGAGAAGTGAGGTTGATAACCTTAAAAGGAGTAACAACATAGACTAATCCAAATGTACTGTAATAACGCTTTTAAATAAATAAGGTCGACTCTAAACATAAATTTATCGCGGTAAGCTCTAAATATCTACATTTATACAACAACAGGGTTACAACTTTTTATTTTTAAAAAAAACCCCATACACAGCACTAACACAAAAATTTAACCAGTAAAGAAAACAAAGAATTTTCCATGCTATTGATGACGTGAATGATAAATAGATATCACCAACTGCTACGTGGGGACATGATAATATACTGTACTGCGGTTCGACTTTGTTTATTTGACGCCCTCTGCTGGAAACAAGCTCGATTACAACCAGGTCTGCCATTTTGTTTACATTGTTAAGCTAGCGGAAAGCTTCGGACTAAACAAACCTGTGTATTATAATATATGTTGGGATTTATGAGTAAATGCAAGAAACAACTATATAGTATATTCAGCGTATCAGTACTGAACATGTGGTATATTCATATAGCCAAAACTGGCCTATTTCGTGCATCGGGGGTATAGCTCAGTGGTAGAGCATTTGACTGCAGATCAAGAGGTCCCCGGTTCAAATCCGGGTGCCCCCTCTTTTCTTTCCTTGGTGACTTTTTGTCGTTGCGTTCGTATAAATAAATGTAATAGAAAACTTCACCGATTGCCTAGCGATATATGAAGTTTATTCCTTACTTAACGAACATAATCTCTACGAGTAGCCGTATGTCTTTTTGTCGCTTTTATGTTTCCCACCGCGTCTTAAAATACTATATTCCACCTTATCTAAAAGAAATTCTTCAGAGGGTTTTACCACTAAATTAATTACATGTCCCAATGTGTACTTTTACTTTACTTTTTGATTTTGTCACCATTAGTTGTGTGGAAAATCTCTTTTCTTATTAATCTGCAAAGTTTACAAGTATTTATAGACGTTGCAAGCGGTTAATATGCCTGTATGTTAGCAAAACTATCGGAATATCTGTCTCTGCTCGGTACACACCTTGATCTTTAAGCTCAATATAACAAATGATCACCGTGGCTGCGCTTGTCATGTGGAATTTCGTGTTGTGTTATGGCGCCATCCTGTGGCAATGCTGTGCACAGCCCTAAATACCTTACATTTTTGCAATTTTTAACCTATCATGGGACTTCAGCAAGGAAGGAGATAAATTTCCATCCATCCTAGCTGTCTCAGGGCGAGACAGATGCATTTGCTGTCAAATAAATTTGCATAAAAAATGAATTCCATACATGCAGTCATTTTGAGTTGTTATCACAGCAGTGCTTAAGCTATAATGTAAATTTATTTTTAAAAATTAGATGCACATGAAGTATTAATGCCCACATAAGGTATTTCTCTAATAGTATCTTTAATGCTGTTTCCTTATATTTTAAGGCTCATTCATTTAGTTATAAAAATTGAAAACCATCTAAATAGATGTTAGTCACTCACCAGACTATGACCTTGAGATCAAAATCCAGACTCGTCACCAGCTTTTATTAGAAGACATTTAAACAGAAAGGTTCAAAGAAAACCCTCATAACACGTCTCTAAAATTCATCCAAACAACATACGTCCTTATAATCACTATCAGCTATAAAGCTAAATATCCACATAGATATAACATTTTATGAACTCATCGTTGCTCGCGTAGAAGTTTCATGAAACAAAAGTGACTCCATAAAATGGATAAAAACAAAAAACACAGAGTAAAGTTGAGTGGTACATTGATTTGCAGTATGAAGGCTAGTTTAATTCATTCCCTGACAGGCCCTTGCATCATTGGCTTTTGGACATTTGCATCTCATCATTTCTGTACTGCCGTCTTCCTCTCAAACCCTCCAACCCTTAGATAATATGGCTAATCCTCTGTGTGATGGCAAACAGCAAAAGACACAGAGAAAGCTGGCAAGAGCTACAAGAGCAGTTACAGTAAACACTGTCCAGCCTCAAAGGTTGGAGTAAGGACATCTTGTGTTGATGGTCAGCCTGAATGTCCATATTCATCCTCCTGTAGTACCGCAGTTTTCCTCAAGATGGTGTCCTCTCTTCCACTGATTGAGTCCTGCAAGTCCTAGACCCTTAGCAGCAGTGCTCAGCTTCAATGAAGCCTTCCTTTTCATGGCCCCCGAGCTCGACTTCAGCATAACTGGAGTGACAGCCCTGATTGCGGAACTTCATAGAGGGCCAGTAGTTATTGGTGCGTCGCTGCAGACAGAGAAACAGTAGTAGGTAAAGACCACCTAGCAGGCAAATGGGAAGATGCAGGCTTCAACCATAGACGGCATAAAAGATGAATGTAGCCACTGGGATGTGCCTATTGCACATCCATAAATCCCCTAAACTTTACTGCAAGTGCATTTATGAATTTTAAAGGTGAGTGTTTTCAAGTCAAGAGTGGGTTTTACTGTGAAGCCACAAGCTCATTGGCCCATTGGAGCTTAAAGATCATCAGGAGAGTGTTTCCAGTGTTCAGGGCTGTTTTGTCACAGACTTCTGCAAGTCTTTTTGCAGACACATGAACATCACCCACTTCTCATTCATCAGGTGAATCTGTCATTTCATTGACCTGTGAAATAAACTGGTCACCCAGTGACAGAGTATGCATGCTTACACGTTTCACCTGTCTGAAGTCTGGTAGTTATGTAGACATTATAAAAGATGGACATAACTTCCAGGTTTAAAAGGGAAGCCAATGCAGAAGTGCCTTAAATCTACATTCCTTTTAATACCAGCATCAATGATGTATTTCAACAGTGGCTTAAAACAACTTTACCACCACCATCTGACCATAGCAGTATATTACAGCCCACCAGGTCAAAGTGAAATTAAGGGAAAACATATATTTTAAGACAAGAAAAGGTCCTCTATATTTTAAAAGAAAATTAAAGTCTGTGACCATCCCTACTGCAGAGGGAATGAGAGCTGGATGTTGTTTTTCTGACCTGCATGAGGTAGAATGGTGGAGCCACTGTGGGATGTGTGTTGATGTAGTAAACAGCCAGTAAGGTGAGAGCTACAAGCAGAACTAGAGCAGCCACAACGCCTGCGATGATGGCCGTGTTCTCTGTCATCCCGTTGTTTGGAGGGCTCGTCTGTATATCTGAAAGGAAGGAAGATTGTTGCTCCTGTTAAAGCATTTCTAAATATAGAAATGCCTAGGTAGCTAACTATGGACTTTACTTTGGAAAACTCTGTGGCCAACTTCCTAAAACTAAGTGGGGACAATTTTCGTTTTCAAATTAAAAAAAAAAAAAAAGAAATTCATGTTCACTTGTTTGTATTTACAGTAAATCTCCCCAAAATCTGTATACACAGAAAATCAACAGAAAAACATTAAAAAACAATCATCAGTCTCTTCCCAAAGTCCACATGGAAAAACAAATATTTGACTACTTTACTGTTGGACTTTATTAAAGTTGAGTTTGACACTTACATAATCTTTATTTAACTATGATAATAGAACACATGAGATTTAAAATCAGTGGGTTCTTAATTAGCAGAATTTATACAAATAAATAAGTAGAAACATATAGATGAACTTAAAATTTTTGAACATATTGAATGAATAAATTGTGGTCCTAGGATTGATCCCTGGGGCCTACCCCTGGTTAGATTACAAGCTTTGGAAATCATAGCTTCTGCTCACACACTTCTAATGGTTTCTTCTGATTATTACTGTCAAAAGTGAAAATTTAGTTATTCATAAAAAGTGTCCCTGCCAATGCAACAGAAGGCACTCCTATTTGCTTAGGTACATTTGATTTTACATAAACATGTCTTTGAAAAGATCTACACAAAATCTCATATATAAATACATAGATAAGTTCAGCAATTATTAGTCATAATTTTATAGTGAGACTAGCTTTATGATAAGCTTTCTGTTATTGTTATTTTTTACATTCTGAAAATGTTTGCAAAGATGTACAAGTTTAAATCTGACACAGATTTAGGGGCTATCTACTGTTTATATTGAGTCGTGCAGCTGGTACCTGAATGCTTATGCTCTCTATGGAAATTCAGCTTTAATTCTGTAATGCTCAGAAGTCAGAGAGCTACTAGTAATTCTGCTTCTCCTTAATCTATTCACAAAGGGTCACATTTTGCATGATCCCCCAAAAAATAAACAATTAAATATTCCTTCATTAATCCTTCACCAGTTGTGGGACTGAGTTTTTGCTGAAATACCAGCACTGTATTTTCCAACTCACCCCTAGTAACAGGCTGTTCTTCAAGCACTGAAACGGTTGGACCTGGAGAGGAGTGATTAAAGGAGCTCATAGTTGCTTCAGGTAGAACTGTGTTGTAGTCCTCACACATGCCTTTAGCCTGAGTGAATGCCGAAAAGAATGACTCAGGAATCAGTAACAAAGCTGCTCATCTCTCTCTTGTGTAATATGGTAATGAGTCTCACCTCTTCAGGGCAGTTGTAATCCAGCCACTCTTGTCTATGTCGGTCTATACCATCAGAACATCTAGAAATGAAAAGCAAAGTGAGAAAAGGCGAGAGTCTCATAACATCACGAATTGAACTTTGTCTTACCGTTGAAGTGTGTTGCACCAGCCACAGCTGCTTGTCAAGTTGGATGTTAGGCAGAGATCACAGGATGTGTGTTGAAGACAAGCTGGGGAACGGGAATCGCATCATTACGCAGTTACGGGGTGAGTAATGAGGCT